CTGGGATTATAGGTAGACACCACAAAGCCCTGAGTTTTGCAGTGCTTGGGGGTGGAACCTAAGGTTTTCTTTCTTTTTTTTTTCAGGCTAGAAACAATCTTGTTTCACATGTCAATCCCAGCTCCCTCTCCCTTCCCTCCTCCCCTGCCCTCCCCACCAGGTCCTCCAGTCCCCCACCCAATCTCCATTCCCATCTCCAGGGAGGGTGAGACCCTCCATGGTGGATCTCCAGTAACTGTCATTTCATCCAGGGCAGGGCCTAGGCCCTCCCCCCAAGGGTCCCATCTGAGAGACCCTCCCATATTGTGGCATGGGCACTCAAATTCTATTTGTACGCCAGGGATAAATACTACCCAAGGCCCCATAGATTACCTAGGCCTCCTCACTGACACCCACATTCAGGGAGTCTGGGTCAGTCCTATGCTTCCCACACACCCATCAATCTGGAATCCAAGAGCTCCCACTTGTTCAGGTCAGTGTTTCTGTGGGTTAAACCAGCCCAGTCTTAGCTCCTTTGCCCATCAGTTCTCCCTTTCTGACACTGGATTCCAGGAGTTCAGTTCAGTGTTTGTCTGTGGGTATCTGCCTATGTTTTCATCATTCGCTGGATGAAGGTTCTGTTTCCTAGACTCTTTGGCAGTGGGATTATATGCTGGCACTCCCCTGATTCATGTCTAAAATCCATAAATGAGTGAGTACATACCATGTTTCTCTTTTTTGTGACTGGGTTACCTCACTCAGGATTTTCAAGATTCCATTGTTTTTTTCCCGCTGAATAGTACTCCATTGTGTAAATGTACCACATTTTCTCTATCCATTCTTCAGTTGAGGGGCATCTAGGTTGCTTCCAGGCTCTGGCTATTACAAATAATGCTGCTATGAACATATTGGAACAGACATTCTTGTTGTATGAATGTGCATCATTTGGGTATATGCCTAAGAGTGGAATTGCTGGGTCATGTGGTAGACTGATTCCCATTTTCCTGAGGAATCTCCATACTGATTGCCAAAGTGGCTGTACAAATCGGCACTCCCACCAGCAGTGTAGGAGTGTTTCCCTTTCTCCACATCCTCTCCAGCATAAACTGTCATTGGAGTTTTTGATTTTAGCCATTCTGACAGGAGTGAGATGGTATCTCAGAGTTGTTTTGATTTGCATTTCCTGGATGTTGAGTACTTTCTCAAGTGTGTCTCAGCCATTTTAGTCTCCTCTACTGAGAATTCTCTATTTAGTTCTGTACCCCATTTTTTAATTGGCTTCTTTGGTATTTTGGAGACTTGCTTCTTGAGTTCTTTGTAAATTTTGAAGATGAGCCCTCTGCCAGATGTGGGGCTAGTGAATATTTTTTCCCAATCTGTGGGTTGCCTTTTTGTCTTGCTGTCTGCATCCTTTGCCTTGCAGAAGCTTCTCAGTTTCAGGAGGTCCCATTTATTAGTTGTCGATCTTAGTGTCTGTGCTACTGGAGTTATGTTCTGGAAGCTGTCTCCTGTACCAATTTGTTCAAGGATACCTCACACTTTCTCTTCTAAGAGGTTCAATGTGGCTGGATTTATGTTGAGGTCTTTGATCCATTTGGACTTAAGTTTTATGCATGGCAATAGACATGGATCTATCCGCATTCTTCTACATGCCAGCATCCAGTTATGCCACCATCATTTGCTGAAGATGCTTTCTTTTTTCCATTGCATATTTTTTGCTTCTTTGTCAAAATTCAAATGTTCATACATGTATGGGTTAATATCAGGGTGTTCAATTCGATTCCATTGGTCTAACTATCTATTTTTCTGCCAATACCAAGCTGTTTTCAGGACTTCAGCTCTATAGTAGAGTTTGAAGTCAGGGATGGTGATGCTTCCAGATGTTGCTTTGTTGAATAAGGTTGTTTTGGCTATCCTGGTTCTTTTGTTTTTCCATAAAAGGTTTATTATTGTTCTTTCAAGGTCTGTGAAGAATTGTGCTGGGATCCTAATGGGGATTGTGTTAAATCTGTATATTGTTTTAGGTAAGATTGCCATTTTTACTATGTTGATCCTACCTATCCAAGAGCATGGGAGATCTTTCCACCTTCTAGTGTCTTCTTTAATTTCTTTCTTTAAAGATTCAAAGTTCTTGCTATCCAAGTCTTTCACTTGTTTGGTTAGCATTACCCCAAGGTATTTTAAGTTGTTTGTGGCTATTGTAAAGCGCAAGGTTTCTCTGATTTCTTTCTCAGACTTTTTATCATCTGTATATGGTAGGGCTACTGATTTTCTTGAGTTGACCTTGTAGCCTGCCACCTTGCTGAAAGTATTTATCAGCTGCAGGAGTTCCCTGGTAGAGTTTTGTGGGTCACTTACGTAAACCATCATATCATCTGCAAATATTGAAAGTTTGACCCCTTCCTTTCCAATTTGTATCCCCTTGATCTCCTTTTGTTTTCGTATTGCTGTAGCTAGAACTTCAAGTACTATATTGAAGTGGTATAGAGAGATTAGACAGCCTTGTCTTGTTCCTGATCTTAGAGGAATTGCATTGAGTTTCTGTCCATTTAGTGTGATGTTGGCTGTTGTTTTGCTGTATATAGCTTTTATTATGTTGAGGTAAGTTCCTGTTATCCCAGATCTCTCCAAGACTTTTATCATGAAGGAGTGTTAGATTTTGTCAAAGGCTTTTTCAGCATCCAATGAGATGATCATGTGATTTTTGTTTCTCAGCTTGCTTATATGGTGGATTACATTGATGAATTTCGTATGTTGATCCAACCCTGCATGCCTGGGATGAAGCCTACTTGATCATGGTGGATGAGTTTTCTGATGTGTTCTTGGATCTAATTTGCCAGTATTTTATTGAGTATTTTTGTATCAATGTTCATGAGGGATATTGGTCTGAAGTTCTCTTTCTTAGTTGTGTCTTTGTGTGGCTTGGGTATTAAGGTTATTGAAGCCTAGTAGAAAGAGTTTGGCAAAGACCCTTCTGCTTCTATTGCATGGAATATTTTGAGAAGAATTTGTATAAGCTGTTCTTTGAATTTCTGGTAGAATTCTGCACTGAGGCCATCTGGACCTGGGCTTTTTTTTTTGTTGGGAGACTTTTGATGACTGCTTCTATTTCCTTAGGAGTTATAGGTCTATTTAAATTGCTTACCTGTTCTTGATTTAATTTTGGCAAATGACATCTATCCAGAAAATTGTCCATTTCCTCTGGATTCTCAAATTGTGTGGAGTACAGGTTTTCAAAGTATGACCTGATGATTCTCTGGATTTCCTCAGTGTCTGCGGTTATGTCCCCCTTTTCATTTCTGACTTTGTTAATTTGCATGTTCATACTCTGTTGTTTGGTAAGTTTGGATAAAGGTTTGTCTATCTTGTTGATTTTCTCAAAGAACCAACTCTTTGTTACATTGATTTTTTTGTATTGTTTTTCTAGTCTCTGCTAATATCTAACAAATTAGATTTTCAAATAAAATCAATCAAAAGAAATGAAGGAGGGCACTTCAGACTCATCACAGAAGAAATCCACCAGGACGAAGTTTCAATTTTGAACATCTATGTCCCAAATACAAAGGAACCCATATTCATAAAAGAAACATTACTAAAACTCAAATCACATATAAAGCCCCACACACTTATAGTGGAAGACTTCAACACCCCACTCTCACCTCTAGACAGGACTACCAGACAGAAACTTACAAAGAAGCAAAGGAACTAATAGAAGTTATAACCCAATTGGGATTAACAGACATCTATAGAACATTCCTCCCAAATAAAAAAGAATATACCTTCTTCTCAGCACCACATGGACCCTTCTCAAAAATCGACCACATACTTGGCAACATATCAAATCTCAACAGGTACAAAAAACTGGAATGAGTCCATGCACCTTATCAGACCACCATGTGTTAAAACTAGAATTCAACAACAACACAAATTGCAGAAACCCTACAAACTCATGGAAGCTGAATAATGTACAATTGCACCATTCCTGGGTCAATAAAGAAATTAAAGTCTTCCTAGAATTCAGTGAGAATGAGGACACAGCATACCCAAACTTATAGGACATGAAGAAGAAACTGGAGAGTAGTTACACTAGAGAATTAACAGCACAACTGAAAGCTCTAGAACACAAAGAAGCAAATTCACCCAGGATGAGTAGATGCCAGGAAATAATCAAATTGAGGGCTGAAATCAATAAAGCAGGAACCTAAGGTTCTTAAACACTCTATCAACTGAGCTGCATTTCCAGTCTGGAACGCAAGCCTCTTTACTGCCGTAGGTGCTTATACCACCATTCATTACAGAGTTGGGTAGGAAATAAGGTAAATAGAAGAACTTTTGATTCCAATGGCATTATGGTTGTTATTTAGCCTCATCTGGAGGATTTCGATTTTTTTATTGTGGTAAAATAAATATAACATAAAACTTATCATCATAACCATTTTAGGTATACAATACACACACACACACACACACACACACACACACACACACACTTCTATGCCACTATTGACACCTCCCATCTCCCAATCTTTCCCACATACTCTGAAATTCTAGCCCTCCAGGACAGAAACGCTGGGTTTCCTCAGTTCCACCAAGCTTCCTTTGGCCTCCATCACTGGGTTTTCTGAGGTTAGCTACCTTAGATCCTTTCTTTTAAAAAATGTGTTCAAAACTTTTCCTTCTTTAACTGGCTTAAAATAAAAAAAGCCTCCTGTAATGTTCCCAGTGTTCATCTTCATTTTAAAAGCATATGAACTTTTTAAGGGTGGAAAATTATCTATTGCATAGACATGCTACACTCTGAATAATTAACTCTTCACATGAGCCAAAGGTCCTTTAGAAATGACATTGAGTGTGTGGTTCCCATGACACTCAGACAGACAAGGCCCTGGACAAGCCATCACCTTCCATGGTCTATGTATTAAGAACTCAGAATTCTTAAAGAGTGTGTCTTCCTTTTCTGAATAATGATAATAACGTTTTTAGAAAAAAGATGACAATTTTATAATGCAAAGGCCATATGCTCCTGTTTAACAGAATTTATTTCTTTAAAACCATTGACCTTAAAAGTGCCGTTACAGGAAAATATAAGTTCCACACACTCTCATCATGCTAAGCATAGAACATAGTTTGATCCATTTTGTTGTCACTGTTTGCTTTTGTATGCTTTAATTCTTTTTTTACATTTTACAGAGGAATTTTACATTCCAATCCATGCACAGGAAGGTTCTAGTCCATTGATGTAACGTAACATGATTTTCCTTTTCATCTAGAAAATTAGATCATATAAACATTTAGGGAGGGAGACTTTCACGTATTTTAGTATTTGCTGAAACTTAAAGAGGAAATCAGACAGATCTCCCTAGAAGCAAAGACAGAAGACAATGGAGGAAACGAACACTGGCTTGTGTAGTCAGTAAGTGTATGGCATCAACTACAGACCTTGTTTGCAGGGGCTGGGCTGTATGCACTTAGTGAACTGGAGAGAAGGGAGGGACAGAAAGAAACACAGCCTTTGAGGAGGGACCAACAAAGTCTTAGAATCAAGTGGAACACCAAAGCAGAGCAGGATAATTTAATTCATTCCTCAACTCTGAGAACAATGCCATAGTAAAATCTTTAGGCTATAACTGCTTATTCCCTGGTTCCCGAGAAATTTTGGCATAGCATCATTCTTTGGGACACCTATCAGAAATGGACAAGACTGTCTGAAAAGTGTAATCCATTTAAAATGGTGCTTCTGACATTCGTCTATGTTCACAAAACTTTTCAGGTTTCAGTCGTTTTTTTGTTGTTGTTGTTGGGTTTTTTTGTTGTTGTTTTTAAGAGAATTCTTTTATTTTTGACATGCAAGAAATTCTAGTTTCTTGCCTTGACCAAAAAAATTTTTGTTTGCAGCTAGCTGTTGAAGGTAGACCAACCCAAGACTTTCTCAGAGGCCATGATGAAAGGACAAAGGGAGCTTTAGTTCTGTGTCCTGGTCCAGGAGTAGACTTGGTAAGGCTGCTTAGGGCTGGACCCAGTGCCTCCTCAAAGGAGTCAAAGTTGCAATTTCTGGGGACCCAACGTTCTCCCTGAGCCGTGGTTATCAATCCTTAGGCAGTTGTGTCCAAGGTATCCAATGTTCTCTTTGCCAACATTGCCTGACTTAGCTCTCTGCTGACCTTGGCCATCCCCCATTCCACTTTTGAATAGTATGATGCTGTACTTCTTACTAAACTAGTTTGGCATAAGTCACTAGCTTATGCAAGACCACCTAATCCCAGCTATTGCTTTTGTCATCCCTGGTCCTCCTACTTGACACCTTACTGTCTGGGATCTTTATTCCTCTTGGTCCAGCTAAGGATTCGACTCAATGAGTAGAATTCTTACCTAGCACACAAGACTCTTACCTGGATTCAGTTACTAGCATCACATGAGTCTAGCTGTGTTTATAATCTCAGGGCTTGGGATATAGAAACAGGAGGATCATGAATTCAAACTAATCCCTGGCCACAGTTCAAAGGCATCTTGGGCTACATGAGACCTGTCTCAAAAAACGTACTACCTATAATACAGTTTTACTGATACCTAGGGAATTTTTCAGAGCCTGCATAACCAGACACATCTTGGAAAGTCCCTGAGTGTTTCTCCCAAGGCTTTGGTTTTGGGGCGTCTGGATGTGGATGGAAGGGGGAAGAAATGCAGAAGAGGTGAACAGGAGCCTCTTGAGAAATGACACCTTTTTTTACTGTGCTACTAACCATGTTATGTTTCTCAGAATTTGATGAACTTGAAAAACCCGAGGCACTTTCTCAAGGCAGTATTCAAAGAAGAACTAAATATATTTATTTACAAGGAAAGGTGAAATTTTGAACATAAATCCAAACTAAAATGAGGCAGTATCTTATATTTAATAATTTGGCAAAACCTAGAAGGTTTGCTAGGACATGTTTCTGTGTGTGACACTGTAGGAAAGGAGGCACACATATTACCCCAAACAGGATTGTTGGGAGCGCCTCAGATACCTTGATCTTTTGGAGCCAAACCTGTACTTTCTGAAGTCTAAAGATTTACACAATTGGCCTTTAGCCTTAACAAAGGAACCTTCTGGGGGTACTCAGAAGAGAAACAGCATAGGTAGAACATAGGAACGCCATGACCCAGAAAGCTTGTCCAAACTCAGCCAGCCCTAACCATCACCTAGACAACGGCCATTAGCCCACCCATTCCTCTCCCCCCTGAACTTTGTACCTTACCAATATCCTGCTCTATGTGCTTAAACAATACCCTGCTACATGCACACATGGTGCACAAAGCAACCCTCTCTGCCTCCCGAGTGCTGGGATTAAAGGTGTGTGCCACTAACGCCTGGCTACATATGTTTGTTTTACTATATGTAAGATACATAGTGTGTAACAACATACTAAGAAGACTGAAAACAAGAAAAATTAGAAGCTACCTAAAATGTAAAAATAAAAGAGATTGAAAATTATAGCATATTTATTGTCACATACTGCACAGTTATTACAGAACAGAATATAGTGACATGAGACATCATTGGTTATATCCTCTCAAAATCATGCTCATCATTTTCAGGCTGAGGCTAGCCTGCCTGAAGTTTCATTGAAGCTAGGCAAACTTATATATTTTGGTTTTCACCAAACAGAAGTGGATGGAATTGGCATAGATAATCTGCCAGTTCATCCTCTGAAAGACAATTATACATTCCTGATTTTTCTGTTTCTAAAGCCATGGGACTGCCTGGTCACAATGTCTTCAGTCATATGGGTCCTGAATGATTTCATGGGACAGAACCTGCTGACCAGTTCTGTGCTGGTAAGAAATAAATGTCTGTTAGATTTAAGCCAGAGATTTTGTATTCTCTTGACAGCTCAGTACTTGCCCTAAGTAATACATAAAGGAAGTGTGGCACCACCATAACCCAACATTAGTGCAGTGGTTCTCAACCTTCCTAATGCTGCAACCCTTTAATAGAGTTCCTCATATTGTGATGGACCCCCAACCATGAAATTATTTTCATTTCTACTTCACAACTGTAGTTTTGCTATTGCTAAGAATCGAAATATAAATATCCGTGTTTTCCGATGGTCTTAGGTGAAAGGGTCGTACGACTCCTCGAGGGGTCACAACCCACAGGTTAAGAACCACTGCTCAAGAGTGTGGCATTCATACAGTGAGTGTGATGAGAAGAGACTCCCAAAGAAGGATTGTCCAGACCAGGTAGCTTGTGAATGGCTGGGGAGAGGGGCTGTCTTGACTATGTTCATTGATGTGGAAAGACCCAGGGTGACACAAGTCTCTATCTAGGTCCTGGGAGGCAAAAAAAAAAAAAAAGAAAAAAAGAAAAGGAGAAAGTAAGTTGAGTTTATGCACACAAATGTTCATTCTTTCTCTCTCTGCCTCTAACTGGGTGGAATAGCTGATCCAAGTTCCTGCCATCTTGATCTCATCACAGTGATGGAAAATACCCTGGACTTATGACTGGAACAAATGCCTTTCCCTTAATCTTGTTAGAGAGTCTATCACAGTAGTGGGAAACGAAAGTGAGAGATCAACAGTGATGGAGACTAAAAGATTTCACACTAAAAGCCTGATGCCCCTGTTGTCACTTTTGGTGAAAGTGTCATCTACATGAACTAAAAACCTAGGCCTCTTCTGCTACTTCAATGGAAGCCACTGGAATTCATGAGAATACTGAGATGTAGTGGCTGTCTTGATATTTGTAGAAAATTTCCCTTCAAAGAATGAAGACAAGACAAGGCAAGCTTGCTAGCAGGGATGAGCAAAAATAGAAAGCCAGAGGATGAGACAGGTAATGTTTGGAAGGACAACTGATAACATGTCCCAAGCTCAAAAAGAGAAACCCGTTGCACACAGGCTTTCCCTGGGGCCTGTTGATACTCCTTAGCCAAGGTGAGGAACCCTTGGGCAAGATCTGTCTTTCTACACAGCCTCATCTTTTTTTAGGTGACCTCAAGGGACCTGCCATTCAAAGAAGAAGTCTGTCAAAAGAAAAACATGTAAGTGAGGAGACGTCCTACTAAAGATCTGGGTACAGAAAAAGAGCTCCGAGAGTCCTCATTGGCTTAGATAACTGACAGGAAGCATAGCCGTACCGACAGAATAGGGGATGCTACAAAATGCCTCATCTGCCGAACACTATTGCTTTCACAAGATACAATTAAGATTGTTTATACTTAACAAAAGGTTAGAACAGTACATAAAATTACCTGGGTGGAGGAGAGAGGGAGAGGGAGACAGAGAGGCGGAGGGTCTTTTCCTACTCTGAGAGCCTTATGAATCTGTCTGCATAGAGCTGCTTGCTGCTGAACATGGATTGCTCCTACAGGCACAAGTTTCCTGGTAAGACACCATGCTAACAGTATCCTGGACACATGGCTGCAGGATGGCTGCTGCCTTTCATACACAGGTGTTACACAGTGGAGTTGGGAAGGTGCAAACTCAGCTGCACAGAGAGAGATGAAAATGAAGGGGAGATGTAAGAGATTGGGAGGAGAGGGGTGCCAGGGCCACGACTCTCAGAGACAAGGCTGGTCACCTGACCAGAGGGGTACAATGAAAACCTTGTAATGATTAGCTTCCATTTTTCTTTGTTTCATTCACTATAAAGTCTGGTACCTAGAGATGGGTATAAAACAGATCTCTAGGATGTCAATCTGCTGCCTTCTCAGTGTTTCTGAATTAGGCACAACCAAAAGATTCAATTCAGGGACTCTGTTCATTAGCTTTTGTAGTGGCAGGCAACATAGACCCTGGCATTCCAGTTATGGGAATAAGGGGACTGGATACCAGTTAAGTTTCGGTTCTTTTCTGAGAAACAGAGTTGTATGATGAAACATGAAGGCAAATGAAACATTCAGGAAGCCCACGGAGCTGTCCACACAGAAGCATAATGGGCTATGGAAGCTGAACCAAATACAGATTCATTCACTCCCCTGGGAAGTCACTGTGCCCTCCAAAGCATGCCAGCATGTCAGGTGTTTTCGAGCTGCTTATGACTGTTGGCTGATGGAGGACTAAGACCAGAAGCCCAGGCTGCTGAGTCAAAACAGCGAGGCAGGGGTGACAAAATGCCAGACAAATGCAATTTAGGGAGGACAAGTTGACTTACAATTTGAAGGTACAGGAGTGGAGACACTTGCATTCAGGACTCGGTGCTTCCCGCATGTAGAGTGGCTCTCCTTACTTTGATTAACCCAATCTGGAAACTCCCTCATAGACTTGCCCAAAGGTTTGTCTCCAGGTAACAAGCTGACTGTAGCAATCCTCACAATTACACTGGACTCAATCCCTACTGCATAGGCACTTGGTCACGAGCCCACTGAGGAAACATTGATGTGCCTGGGAAAAAGACCATATGAGTCCCATTTTCAGAGTGAACCCCCTTGCTCATGGATCAAAATAGCCTGTACTCCATTTGTGCCACAGAATTACAAACCCAGGGAACCAGGATATACCACAAGCAAAAGAACTTGTTTGAAAACAGGAATGGCCCTTTTGGCACTCAATGAAGGGCGGACCCAGGGTGTGTTTTGACAAGGGACAGGGGAGGGGATTTTTGAAAAATCAAGAAGATAGGGAGTGTAATCCTGAGTCACTTGCTTTAACACTTTGGGGTTGGTTGGTAGGAGTTGCAGATAGAAGGCTGCAGGGTAGGACTGTTCTATGGCAACTGGTTGCATGCGCTCTCATAACCAGTCAATTCTGGAAAGACAGGGAGGTGCTTAGTCATGCACATTCAGCCAATTTACATTTTAAAATGACAGTGTGAGTGTCAAGATGGGGTCCATTTGGCTTTAAATAAGTTCCAAAGGACGTGGTTGCGTCTAGTCGTGAAATGGTCCTCCTGCTTCACGGCTTGAAAGAACAAAGCACACCCATTCGTGATGGGATGCTCACATCATGTGATCTTGTAAGATCCCACATGCAGGCATCCATCATGTGATCATGTAAGATCCCACATGCAGGTGTCCATCCTGTGATCATGTAAGATCCCACATGCAGGCGTCCGTTAGTAAGTCAGTTGCATTTTCCAGACTAGACTAATTATTTACTGGCAAAGGTAGGTAAGGGTCTTCACTACTATCAAGGCTTGCCACAGACTTCCTGTCTGGTGTCATGCCTACCGTTGCCTTCTTTCTTCTAATTTTCAAATATACACCTGGAGTAACCTTTCTAAAACTTAAACTCAAACAGGGCTAAAACCTAATCCTTAATTCACTCAGTTGCAAGTCTTTAATACACATCCAATATATACCAAATGCGCCAGTTCTAAACCACAATGCTTACACAGAGAGAAAAATAGAAGACCTTTATTTATCCTTTGGTTCTGAAAAAACAGGTGTTTGCCTCCCAAAGTAATTTACAAGGCTCTAATTTCATAGTGAGAATTCAAAATTTGTCATCAGTCAGTCACTCTTTGGATAATGCTATTCATTTTTTTTTACCAAAGTACAAATACAGTTTACTCATAAATAGGATGAAAAATTCCCTTCTAGGGCAGGTGGACAATAAAACCTCAGCCCCAAACTGGTTCAGTATTGTGTATACAAATATTATGGGTTCCTTGCCTGAAAAGAAAGTGAAGATATGAAGTGGTTTTACATTAAGTTTGTAAAAATTATCACTTCAAATCCCTTACTTTTACTTGAGTTTTTAAATTCAACTAATGCATTTTTTTCTGACTCTGTTTATGAACCTGGCAGCTTTTAACAGTTACTCTTAAGAAAGCTTCTATATTTTTCTTACTTTAAATATATAGGAACTTGGGGGTTTTAGAATTCATGTTTTTTCAATGCTTCGCCAAAGAACAGAAGAGTCATTAGGAACTGTAGGGACATGAGATCTTTAATCTTCTTGGAAGCTACTAAGTTAACTGGTTAGTACTTCATAGATGCCAGCAGAAGACAAAAGACTCCTGAGTCTGACAAAGGTCTTTTGAAAGCATCAGGGAAATGCCATCTTGCAGCAGTTCATTGTGTAATACATTTAGGTCAGGACCCAAATACCGTGTGTTAAATACTTCTAATGTGTTATCCTGAATGATATCCAGGAACAACGACCAAAAAGCAGTAGGTAAAACCAAGGACATTTGTATTTGAAAACGGGAGAGTTTAACTAATAACAATGTATTGACTTTAGGTCATCAATTATGACGCTTGTTCTGCTAACATCTGATGCTTTTACTGTGGGAAGCTACATGTGCAGTATATGTGAAGGCTTTGTAGTACCTTCACAGTGATCTTGGCTAATTTGAAACTTTTCTGAATTAGTTTGTTTAAGAAGAGTCCATTTAACATTAAATGAGACACAGAACATATTTCACTTACATTAGAAAATCAGAGCCAACTGGCTGAAGATTGGGAAGGTGGGGACAGGAATGATTGAACTGTCTGCTGACCCCTGGTTCTTTCCCTCTAGTGGGACAGAAATATGTGTGATTAAGCTGCAGTAACATCTGCCCACAGGTGACAATTTCAGACACCTCTTCCGTGGCAATAATTAGAAGAAACTTACATCAAACACTCTGAGAATGAACAGCAGCTAACCACCGAAAGCAGAGCTGAAACTACTTGGAAAGTGAAACGCCTTTGTGTCTAGAGGGAAGAGGTCGCCTTGGTGGCTGGATTCTCAGGGGATTTCTCAGTGAAGTATCATTATCAACACTTGGGCTCTGGTTTACCACAGGCCATGGCTCTTCAGGAGCCTCTTTTCTTTATAGCAGCCCCCCCTCCCCATCTCTCTGAGAGACAAGAAAGGGAGCTGAGGACCATCGCCAGTGGTGTGGATCCTCAGCTCCCTTTACACCTGACTTCCCACCCTGTTCACAGCCACAGGAGAAGGATCCGGGAAGAAACAGGCTACAACACAGGAGACCGGGCCTGACTCCAGAATCCAATTCTTCCTGCAATTATTTGTATTTCTAACAAGTCCAGAGGTGAATGGCTGAAACCCCAGTTGAGTCCCACTTTAAGATCTATGGTATGGGTTCAAATGATCACAGGAGCAACTTTCTGCTTTCATTATTTGTTAAGTCCATTTGTCTTGGAATCATGATAAGAATCACCTAGAAATTTGGCCCACTCTGCAGCTCAGCCATCCCCACTTGAGATTCTCAGTGTCTCTGATGTTTATTACCACTTCATTGTACCAACATTCAGTGATGCATTGAATGTCGGTTTTGAGCAATGTTGGTATTGGTGATGTGGACACTGAGCAAGTCACGAAGGAACGATTGTGGACATTCAAAGACAATCCTGTGGGTTCCAGGAGAAAGGGAAACAGTTGAAGTAGAGCGTGAGAAAGAACCAACAGGATACTTGCTCAGTTATGTGCAAAGTGTTGCTGAAGCCATCTCAACCACTGTCAAGGGCTTTGTTAACCCACCACTAATCCCATGGATGGGAAACAAAGGACTCAACAAAATACACACAGCTGATGTGTTTCCATGTCAAGGGACAATGTTGAACGATCACCAAATGGAACTTTAAGGTCACTAAGCATTTTTAACATTAGTGTTCTCAAACACTTAATATATGTGTGAAGAAGTTCTTTGTTTATTTATTCAGCTGTTTTTGTTTCCTCTTGGGTGTGTGGTAATGTTCAAAGACAAAGCCAGTATAATGGGTACTTAGAACATGTCTTTATCAACTTAAATATCAAGAGGAAGTTCTCAAAAGAGCAGTAATATTTATTTGGGACTAGAATGATTCAGCAATGGGAATACATCAGCCATAGTCAGCTGTGAAAACATTCACAGGTTGGGGTAACCGGAAGCGGTGCTAGGAACCATGAGGAATATGTATGATATTTTGAAACAACCACCTTTGGCCCCAAGGACTAATGACCTTGCAAAAGCTGTGTGTGTGTGTGTGTGTGTGTGTGTGTGTGTGTGTGTGTGTGTGTGTGTGTGTGTGTGTGTGTGTGCGCGCGCGCGCGCACGCGCGTGCGTGTGTGTGAAGGTTGTGCTCCTGACAGAATTATTTGAGAGTTACTACTAGGAAATCATGAATGAGAATTCCTACCATGTGACCTCTCTGCTTTGTTTATTTTTTGTTGTTATCTGTGTAAGACACTCCATTTTCATTACGACTTTCACAGCTTCTAGCTCCTCTTATGGACAAGAATACCAACATATACAGGCTCTCCCTGGATTACCAGTATCCCAGTAGTCTCTAGTCTTCTCTTACTTCTCTCTCAAAAATATCCTGGTTTGAATGGTAATAACATCACCTTTTTATAAACCTAATATTCTACGTGTCCATAAAGATCAAATTGTAGCCACTAGGTCTTCCCTCCTTATTTTAATCTCTTTGAAATGCCTCCACAGATAGACTCAGAGGTTCTGTGGGTGACTCTCCATTAAACTGGCATGACAATTAACCAACAGAGAAAGTATTTCTGTTCTACAGCCTCCTCCTGTGTGTGGGCCTCGGGAAATACCAGTTGAATTCAATTAAGCAGAAACTAATGCAACTCTCACTGGAAGCAATCAGAGGTTAGTTTGGCCTAGATCTTCCTTTTATGGATTGAGAGACAAAAAGACCCTATCCAGAGATGGCAGTCCAAGGTAAAAATGTAATTTCAAAATGCTACAACTAAGAAGAAATGACCAAGCATCCAGGAAAAGAGCACAGATCTGAGTCTTCCTAATGTCCAGATACCCAGGTTCCTGGACCCTCATTTTTCCCTGGAGGCAGTCCTCCCTTCTTCCCCACAAGGGGCTGCTCCACAGACTGGAGCCTCAAGGATAAGGCTGTTAGAAAACTGGAAAGAGAGGCAGCTAGAGAGCAGATGCTCCTGCCTTATAAATTAGGAGAAGATTATGCATGGCCAGCTGTACCATATAAATGCCCAGTTTTTATACCACACCATGATCCTCTGTGTTTATCATATGGTCCAGCAGCTGGTCAATTCTGCCCCCGACTCCCATATATCTATTCCAATCAAGCATTGGCTGGGGATTTATTTGTGCATACTTTTCAGCCTCAGTCAGGAACACTGCTTGCAGTCTTAACTTGCAATGTGGTAGAGAATTAAGCCAGCAAGTCCTTTGTCTCACGATAGGATCCTCCCTCACCTGAACATAATGGTGACTGCATGGCCAAATTGGGGGAGGGGCAGGGAGGAAGAGAAGGAGGGAGAGAGAGAGACAGAGAGAGAGACAGAGAGAGAGAGAGAGAGAGAGAGAGAGAGAGAGAGAGAGAGAGAGAGAGAGAGAGAAGTTCAAAGCCTTTATGTATTGACAGAGACACTTAGTTTGCCTTGTCTAACTAAGAAAAAAGACAGGCGACTTCCCTGTGTTTTAAAAGTCTTGAGCTAAACCTGAGGCTGTGCAAGAG